AAACAATGAACTTGGCTTGCTGAGACTTTGCAAGTATATAGAAATCTCTAGTGATTGTCCTTTGCATGTGGACAAGTTTACATTTGAGATGTGAGTCCTGGTAAATTTTTGATTAGTGAAACCTGCCATCTGAGGTAAAAGCTCATAAGACTATAATGGATTTTATTTTGAGTTGTCTAATGAATCTTAAAAGTCCATCAATAATCAATAGTCAATAATCCACCATCTGAGAGAAATGCCACAAGCTACTCAGAGAGAATGTGACTGTTGCAGGTAGAGTTCTGCATCTGGAAAAGCTGAGAGGACAGTTTTAGCCTCAGCCTAGGATGGGATCCTTTTGGCTCAGTTTCCCCATTGTGTTCCTTTGAAAAAGAATGTTTCCCACCTCACCATTCCTGAGTCTGGCTATGTAGTGGAATTGATACTGCATGGTTGGAAAATTGTGATGTTCTTGCTTTCCCTTTTTATGGCAAATTTCTGTAATCAAAACAAGTGGTTAGTGAAAGATAGAAGCGCAATGCAAGCATGTGAAATCTTGCTGTTCTCAATCTGTATGTGTAGTCATTCCGTACCCCAGACAACTGGGTAAATTAGTACTCCTGCATAGTCATGTGAAAGATTAAACCCCTGGGATAGAACATTCTTTCTAAATGATATGGGAATAATTAAAGGGAAAGGAACTTTGTGAAACAAAGGTACAAACATAATGTTGAATCATTATCCCATAGGCTAAGACTGGGATACATCTGAGCTACTATATTAAAGTGTGTGTTTAAGATCTGAGCTATTCAACCTAAAATTATATTCCTTTCTATATCTTAAACAACCGAGTAAATGGGTATTTGGCCTAGACATTTTCCTGTTACTTGATATATATCTGTATGGAATAAGGTCCTTAAATATTTCAAAATGGTATAAAAATAATTGGATATTGTTACAGCTGATTGAGGGACCTAGCTGTTGTTCTATTAATTACTGAAACTAAATCAGGAACATCTTCAGTTTGGGGAAAAGAATTTCAGGGCAATCAAATTTCTTAGAGGGAAGTAACTTACGGAATATTTTTGCATTAATGGAAAAGTCAACTTAATTCAAAGTTTTTACTATTGTGAAAATAATACCTGCTTATTCTGTGTGTCCTGTGGCACAAACATGTTTTATTATAAACAACTTATTGATATGATGATAATTGGAGTAAAGTCAGCCTCTTATAAGCAAATTCATCTGTATAACTATTGAATGCAAGGGTGAAAAGCTTCTACATGCAAAAATGTTGTTACTTATATTTACATGTGTAGAATTGGATCCTCAATAGCATCTGATCCTCCTAAAAGATTTGGAATCAGAGTGGAAACTTTTGAGGAAATGACAAGATCAGATAATCTTGTATGTCAAAAGCGAAAAATAGCATCATGGGACTCTTGGTTTCTTCCGTTGTTTTCCTCTATTCTGACATCACTTTTAATGCTCCTTCTATTTGGGCCCTGCATATTAAACTAGCTTGTCAGATTTGTGTCTCCTAGACTATTGGCTATCGACCTACAGATGGTCACGCAACAACGATACCTGTTCCACATTCTCCTCATCCCCTGGATGCTGCTTCAGCCTAATTGTACTTCCCTTCCCATCCCCAATCAGGCAGAGACAGCCCTACACCCCCTCCCAGCAGGAAGTAGCTACTGAAGACAATGACCTTCACCCCTCTTCCCGAGAGAGTTCTCCTGCCTAGTGGTTGAGTGGGGAAATGATGTAGATGCAAACAATGCCCTAAGGGTTAAGCAGAATATTAAGGGGTGTTTTCCAGTACTTTGTGAAGCCCCATAGCTTATTCTGTAACTTGAAGGCATCCTAAAGTCCTTTCTCTCATATCTTGAACCTGTACCAAAAGAATTGCCTTTGTGTCTCTTATCCTGTGTTACCCCTGTCCTTTCATTTTTAACCTGTGTCCTCATGCCCTGTCCTTAAATCCTTAAACCATAAAGAATTCCCCTTGTCTCTCTCACCCTATGTCATAAAATCCTTTCTTTAAGCTTTAACCCATATAAAAACCTCTAAAACTCCATCATCATTCTGAAATCTCTATATAAGCATAACTCCCCCAAATATTGGGGTCTCACTTAGCTTCTTGCTAATGGGGTCCATGCTGCTTACACGTTAAATAAAACTCCCAATGAATGACTACAGAAAAGGTCTAAGTGAATTCTTTTATACCTGTACCACTCTCCCAAATCTAACCTCAACAATTTTCCATTTCCTTCTCCAGCTCATTTTGCAGATAAAAAAACTGAGGAAATGAGGGTTAAGTGAGTTGCCCAGGGCCATCCAGCTAGTATCTGAGGCTGGATTTGAATTCAGATCTTCTTGACTCCAGACACTCTATCCAATGCACCATTTAGCTGTCCTGAAAAATTATAGGCTGCTCTCAAGTTTTACACAAGCTAGATTTGGGCTAGAAACAGTGTAGCCTATTTTAAACAATAACCAATATTTATACAGCTATGTGTTATTTCATTATTTTGCAACAGCTTTAGGAAACCAGTACTACAGGTATCATCACAATTTTATGGGTGAGGAACCTGAGGCAAAGAAAGGTTAAATCACTTGCTCATGGCCTTGTTGAAAGGAAAATCCTTCATTTGGGGTTTCACCCTGATTAAAGAGGCAAAACTCAAGAAAAAGAAAATGAAAAGGAGCTGATAATGGGTAGTCAAGGCAGTAACACATTGACTGGCTGATCACTGAAGATTAGGGATGGCTTCAAGGCGGGAACAGCTTTTATAGGTAACTTTAAGGCAATTCAGCTAGAACCATTTCAGCAGAAGAGGCTGGCCCCTTGTATCTCAGCTCTTCCCCAAGATAGCAAGAAGGAGACAATTGTCAGATGGGGTGCAAAGGTCACAGGTAGGGCATGACTTGGCTACTTGACCAATTATCAGGGGACTAGATGGCACCTCCCCTAACACTGATCGACAAACAGGACTGAAAACAGCGAGATACTGAGTCAACAGATAACTTTCAAAAGCCAGGTAGCGTAAGTACCACCCAGAATTCTTCAGAATGTTCTATGTATTCAGAATGATATGATGCATTACTTATACAAGAGGTCTACGAATGCTTGATCCTTTATAGACCTATCTTGTTCATCTGTCCTGAAGGTGGAATGATAATTGCTGATATGTATAAGTGTTTTACGGTTTGCAAGATGCTCTACACATGTTGTCTCATTTGATCCTCACAACAATCCTATGAAGGACATGCTATTATTATCCCTATTTACAGGTGAGGAAACTGAAACAGTTTAAATGACTTGCCCTGGGTCATAGGTCTTGAACAGGTCTCCCTGACCCCAAGATCAACACTCTATTCACTGTACCACCTAGCTGTCAAGGAAGAATGTGAAGGGAGCTTTAGGGTAAGTGGTAACTTTTCTGAAATTTCAAGGCCCAGGCTGAGAAGCAGCTGGGCAGAGCAGTTCAGGCCACATGGAGTGCAAATGTATCCTTGAAAAGGTGGCTGCCAGTGATGGAGTTGTAAGGCTGATTTGCAGTTTTTCTTTTATGAGTAGGACCCTGATCTATTATCCAGAAATGCAAGGACGGTTGGTCCCCTACTTGGGCTAGTTTGGACATGTGAACTTTTGTCTACATACAGGAAAATCTGTATAGGCAGGTTTCTCTTCTGGCTCATGCGGCCCACCAGTGACTAAACGAATGAATGGGGAAAAAAAGCATTTAATAAGTGCTTAATGTGTGCAAATCACTGTGCTAAGTGTGAGAGATCCAAATACCAAAGCAAAACATTCCTTGCCCTCAAGGAGCTTATACTCTAACCAGGGAAGATAGCACATATAGGGTAATAGTGGCCAGGGAAGCATGTTTTGGAAGTCTGGAAGATGGTGAATGGAATAATGGAGCAGTCCATTGATATGTCCCTTCTCTAAGCAAAGGTAAAGTTGATTGCATTTGATTACAATTCTCAGAGTAGGAGGTTGAAATTAGAGAAGATGGGGGAGGGGCAGGGACGTGAGATGCATACTTAGCAACAGAGCAGTAAATGACACAATGAAAATGAGGATGCATGGTTCCAGGAAGAGAAGCATTGAGTAACTTAGCTTTTCTTGGGCATGATCTCTGGTACATTTTGGGGGATGGAATAGCAGCAAAGCAAAAAAATGGGATGAAGAGGAGGATGCATGGTTGGGAAGTACAATGTCATCTTGTAGAATTTTAATTGTTGGCATTTTTGTCCAATGCCACCTGTGAAGCATGTTCATTCTGTTCCTCCAGGTCTGTTCAGTTGCACCATGAATAAGAGTGAAAGAGGTAGGAGTGATCCATGGTTGGGTGTTGTCAAGATGTAGTTGGCAAAAGGACAAGGGATCTTAGGATGGAGGATAGCGTAGAACTGAGGTGGTACATAAATGGGTCAAGATAGGGAAGGGAGGGGAGTATAGTCAGTGCAGGGGTGAAGAACTATAAAAGAGCTGGGAGTTGGAGAGAATGGAGGTCAAATAGGGACAAAGAAAAGGTTTGAGGTGGTAAGGTGAAGAGAAGGCAATGTTATAAAAATGTTATGATCAGTTAAAGCAGACCTACACAACTTGGCAGTAGGTTATTCTTCTAGGCTATATAGAGGCTCACTTTCCAAGTAAAAGTATAATTAATACTTAAACTATTTTGCAAATAAGCCATATAAGAAAAGGGAAATTTCAATTAGCATCAATTAATAATACTTATTACTTAAGATTTTTATTTATCATGAAATCACATTAATATTAAAAAAATTACTTTGCTAAGCAGTACAAGTTTTAATACATTTTTCAGGTTTTCTTACTGTTTGTATTTAGTAATGACTGAAAACACTGCAAAAAAATATGACTCTCTCTCCTCTCAGACTAGACACAGACTAACGATGGTTGGTTGTCATGGGTCATGTGACAAACGGAGAGAGTGCGCAGTGGCAACCCACCCACCAAGTTACATGACGGGCACAATACTGACCAGTGGAAGGCAGGTTAAGCAGGGTACGGACAAAGCACTTGTTACATCTTTACTTTCTTTTACATCCTCTACATTTTTTGAGGGTCCTCCGAAATCCTTTGGTGGGCTGCAAGTGGACCATGCCATATGTTGTGCAGACCTGTGTTAAATAAATGTCAAACTTCATGAATATGGGAGTGGAAGGCTTGTGGATGATGGCAAGATCAAGAGTATGACCATCTCTAGCTCCACCTTATGGCTGAGGTGAAGTAGAAGAGCAGATAACAGGAATTAAGAAGACAGAAGAACTGGAATGTTAAGGTATTTGAGGGAGTATCAATATGTATACTGAAGATCCTTATTATGAAGGACAGAGAAATTGTGAGCCAGACACTGAATTCATTGAGGAACAAAGGAGTACATATCAATATTGATATCATCTGTATCTGCATATATACTATACAGATGTATATATGTACACAATACAAATATATACTTTACATGTATCTATGTGTATATGTGTAGATATGCACATACATATATGAAACCATACGTGTATGTGTTTATGTTTACCTATGGTTCTTGATGTTTCCCAATCAAAGAGATTGACACCCTCTAAAGGGTTGACATAAGATCAAGGTCTCTTAACCCAAGGTCCATGAACTTTTTAAAAAATATTTTGATAAATGTATTTCAATATAATTTCAATATAGTTGGTTTCTCTTGTAATCCTATGTAATTTATTTTATGCATCTGTAAAGATTATTCTGAGAAGGGGTTCATAGGCTTCCACAGGGGTCTATGGTACAAAAAACATGATGAATTCCTGGCTAGACTCATCTTGTTTATGCATGAAAACTTCATCATGTGTGATTACATTTTTCTAGGGTTGGAGCAAAAAATCCTTAACAACTATTTGATGTATTATTGTTACATTCTGTCCTTTTTAATGACTATATCAACTGACTTGGAGGGTGGGGAGAGGGGAGTGGAGGAAGAACTACATTCCTACTTGCTTAGACGACTATGAACTCAAACCAAGTCAGGGAAATAGGAAGCAGTGTAGTCTGGGAGAAAGGATGCTAGATTTGTGAAACAGAAGACCTTGACTCAAATGCGGGCTCTGTCATTTTCTTCCTGTGTAACCTTGGGCAAATCACTTAATCTGTGGGTCTAAATGTCCTCATTTCTAAAATTAGTGGGTTGGACTAGAAGACCTCCATGGTCCCTTCTAATGCTGAATCTATGATCCTGTGATTAATCATAAGAGGGCAGGTCCATTCAAAGTATTGGGGGAAAATAAGTGTCTCATTCTGTATATTTAGTCTATCATTTCTCTGTCAGAAGGTGTGTAGGTAGCATTTTTCATCATCATCATTTTTTATATTGCTATTATTGTATTATAAATTGTTTTCCTGGTTTTGATCATTTAACTTTGCATGAGTTGGTACAAGTCTTTCCAGATATCTCTGAAGCCTTTTCCTTCAATATTTCCTATTACATAATGGTATTTCCATTACATTGATATAATTTATTTAGCCATTCCCCTATCGTTAGGCACACCCCTGACTTCCAAGTGTTTGCCACTACAAAAAGAACTGCTATAAATACTTTGGGACATGTAGGACTTTTTCCTCTTTCTTTGATCTCTTCTAGGCCTACTAGTGGGATTTCTGGGTTGAAGACTATGAACTATTTAATAACTCTTTGGACATTGTTCCAAATTCCTTCCCAGAATGAGTGGGCCATTTCACAGCTCCATCAACACTATTTCAATGTACTTATTTTCCCTTTTCCCTTATAACGTTTGTTTTTCTCCCCCTTTTTTTTTGGTCAAGTTGGTCGATCTGATGGGTGTAAGGTGGAAGTGTAGTTGATTTAATTTACATTTCTCTAATTATTAGTAATCTGCACTATCTTTTCATGTGACTTTTGATAACTTGTCTATGTCTAAAAATGTCTGTTTCACTCTACCTCCTGAGTCCATAATTTATCCATCAGAAGTGGGGTAGCATGCTTCCAGAGAACTTATTCTTAAACTGAAGACTTCTGGAACTTTTCTTGCTCCCTCCTCTCTAGCATCTAGCTGAGCACACACTAGTTGTTCAATAATGAAAATGAACAGGGTTGTTATGTTTTATTGATGGCCAAATAAACAGATATCCTAGGGAAGGGACTTTCTCTTTTCTGGGTCCCTCTGATGGGAAGGGGATGCTTTGTCAATTTTATGCCTGTATCTATATCCAGCCATCCACTAGGAAACCAAAGCCTACCTGGGCATCTTGCCATATGCTCTGCAGGGGCTGGCTTTCTCCCGCATCTTCAAATAGCCCCTGCTTTTTACTTCTTGCTCTGGAAACGGTAATTAAAACAATAATGCCACTGCTCCTGGAAAGACCGTGACAAGTCACCACTTTATTCATCCACTCACCATCCCTGTGACTGTCTTCAGGCCAAAACTGTCTTCCCTCCCCCCCCACCACCCACTCCCGCCCCCGACACCTCTATATGTGTGTTCTCTCTCTATTAGTATATAAGTTCCTTGAGGGGAAAAAAACCCTCTTTTTCCTTTTTATTTGTATTCCTAGCTTATAGCATGGTGCCTGGCATTTCTTTTTTGTTATTTGTCTGTTACTGGATTGCTTTTCAGTGTAGCCATTCAGAGGACCCATATATAGTTTTTACTTAAAAAAAAAAAAAGAAGAAAACGATGTAGCACACATCAGCTCAGACTCATCTTCTCCAGGGACATTCAAGACAGGTGGCGTTTCTTGACTAAGTGTCTTAGAAAAATCCAAACAATCCTTTTCTCATAAGAGCTGCCTAATTAAAACGGAAAGTTAGTGCCTAGAGAGCATATTCTCTGCATTTATTGTTTCCTGTCAATTCTCAACTGAGTAGGACATCCCATGGGGTACTTTCCTGAACCATGACTACTCACAAACCTCCACATGTGACCAAAATAAATACATGACAGGGGGAGAGGGAGGCATGCATACACATGTGACCAAGTAGTCTTCTGCCAGAGCTAAGCCAGTAAAAAGCTCGTTTTATCTGAAAATATCTGGACAAGTGAGCCCCCATGGGAACATTAGAAATGAGTCAAATGGTAGATCATGCTCCCTGAAATAAAAAGTTAGTTTTTTCTTTTTAACATTTTTAAAGGCATTTTTATTTAAAGTTTTGAGATCTAAATTCTATTTCTCCCTCTCTCCCCTTCCCCCTCCCTGAGATGGTAAGCAATCAGATATAAGTTATACATGTGCAATCATGTAAAACATTTCCATATTAGTTATTTTGTACAAGAAGATGCAAATAAAAGAAAAAAAAAGAAAGAAAGAAAGTGAAAAATAGCATGCTTCAGTCTGTATTCAAACAATAGCAGTTCTTTCTCTGGAGGTGGATAGTATGCTTCATTATTAGTCCTTTGGGATTGTCTTGGTTCATTGTTTTGCTGAGAACAGCTAAGTCATTCACAATTCTTCATTAAACAATATTGCTGTTACTATATACAATGTTCTGGTTCTGTTCACTTCACTATGCATCAGTTCATGTAAGACTAGGTTTTTCTGAAATCATCCTGCTTATCTTTTCTCATAGCACAATAATATTCCATTGCAATCACATACCACAGCTTGTTTAGCCAGTTCCCAATTGATGGGCATCCCTTGGATTTCCAATTCTAAGCTACCACAGGAAGAGCTACTATAAATATTTTTGTACATATCAGTCATTTTCCCTTTTTGTGGATGTCTTTGGGGCACAGACCTAGCAGTAGTATTGCTGGATCAAAGGGTAAGCATAGTTTTATAGCCCTTTGGGCATAGTTCCAAATTGCTCTCCAGATTGGTTGGATCATTTTACAACTCCACCAGCAGTACGTTAGTGTCCCAGTTTTCTCACATCCCCTGCTACATCCAACATTTTCCTTTTTGTCACACTAGCTACTCTGATAGGTGTGAGGTGGTGCCTCATAGTTGTTTTAATTTGTATTTCTCTGATCAATAGTGATTTAGAGCACTTTTTCATATGACTTCCGATAGCTTTGATTTTTTTTGTCTGAAAACTGCCTGTTCATATCCTTTGACATTTATCAGTTGGGGAATGACTTGTATTCTTATGAATTTCACTCAGTTCTCTATAAATTTGAGAAATTAGGCTTTATCACAGCTATTTGTTACAAAAATTTTCCCCCAGTTTTCTGATTTTCCTTGTAAATTTGGTTGCATTGATTTTAGAACCCAAGTCTTGAAGACCAACACTGAAACCAATACTGGGTAACCATGACAGCTCACTAATGGCACTCATTTGTATCCTATGCTGGAGCCACACTGTTAGGGCCTCCTAACCTGGATCCCCATGACCTTAGGAACCTTCAGAAGGTCCTGAGGCTATGACCCTTAGCAAAATGGTGGTCAGCCAAGTTTGTCCTTGCCACATTTCTTCATACCTTTTTAGTTCCCTTCTTCCCTTTCTTGGTCCAGCTCCAAATCTGTGATCCATCCAGAGCCATGGGAGTAAATCTCTAATAATTGAATTTCAAGCCAGTTAGGAGAGATATTTGGGAAAGAATCCCTCAGATTATAACACAAGGAACTACCAGCTCTGTCAGCTCATGGGCTGTGTATCTGAGAGAATTTTGGGCCAGGGGGAGGAGTCATGGAGTGAGGAGCTCAAACAGCCAATACAGATGACAAATTAATTTGTCCAGAGGACTAACAGAAGCACAAGGGGTTGTTAGGTTCCTCTCAGACTTTTCTCTTCCTAAATAAGCCCAGTTCTCTATTCTCTGCTTAGCTGTCTGGCCCACTTAACTTAGTTGCTTAAAGCAAAGCATTAATGAGGTTGCTAGTTCATTTGTCAGACAAGCCAATTTTGTCCAAGAAACACTCTGTTCTTTAGTCCCAGACCACATTAAAAAAGTTATCCTAAAAACATTTGCCATAGGCCACATAAGAAATGGGGCCAGCTTATAGATGGATTGGCACAAAATCCAGGATTCAGAAATCTTTCAGAGTGCATACCTCTGTGCTAATGGGGAATTAACAGTATTGCTTTGTGGATGAAGGAAGCACATTTTCTAACCCTTGCATCATTTTTACTCATCTCCTCTAGGCAATCCCCAGAGGTTTATAGTAAAGTTTAGGGCCCAAAGACTGAATCAATCAAGTCAAATATGAATTGGGTATTAACAGAAGGAAGGTTCTGGCACAGTTTTCACAGAATCAGAAGAGATCTCAGAGAACATTTTCTCCTACCTATAACTAGCCTGGAACTCCTTTAGCAGCACCCATGACAGGGGAGTCTCCAGTCTTGTAAGGAGAACCCAACTGCCTCATGCCCCTTTTGGACAGCTCTCATTGGTAAGAAGCTCTTACATTGAGCTGACATCTACCTCTCAGCATTTTCTCCCCATTGTTCCTAGTTTTACCCTGTGGGGCCAAGCAGGACAATGCTAATCCCTCCTCCATATGATGCTTTTCAAATACTTGAAAGCAGCTCTCATATTCACCCCTACTTTTTTTTTTCCTAGGCTAAATATCACTTCTGGTGACATGCTCTTGAGGTCCATCACCATAATAATTGCTCTCCCCTGTACATTATCTAGCTTGTTAGTGTACTAGAGTGTACACTGTTCTCATGTGGCACCCAGAATGGAACCCAGTTCTCCAGGTGTGGTCTAACCATGGCAGAGCACAGTGGGACTATAAGTTCACTTGTTCTAGTCATTCTCCCTCGAGGCGGCCAAAGAAAACGTTAACCTTTTTGCCTGCCAAAGCTACGCTATTGACTCAGGTTAAGCCTGAAGTCTGTTAAAATCCCCAGATCTTTTTCAAAGGAACTACCATTTTGCTATTTTTTCTTAATCATGTACTTTTGGAGCTGACTTTTTTAAACTCAAGTATGAGATGTTACATTAATTCCTTTAGTACCTGGAGACACCCATAATTGGCACAGTTGGGTCCCTTAGACAAGGTAACTCCAGGTTTAAGGTACTCTGTGGATCTGAATCCACACAAAATCATAGTTCATGATAATGATGATGATGGTACTGATGATAATAGCTATAACCCCCATCCTTCATCCATCTGCCCTTCGATTTGGGATTTTCTCCTCATTGGTGGAAATGAAAACCCTGCCCCATGTGAGGGAGGGAGCGAAGCTGTGTATGTAGCACAGAGGAGAGCTTCAGTTCTCAGAGAGTTCTCTTCGGGATTCTTCAAGCTTCGTGTCATCTTCAAGCCCACACTGCTTCGGGCGCTTCTGGCTCCTAGCTTCTGGAGGGAGGAAGGAAGAAGCCAACCCCACTTCAGAATGCTGAAGGAAAAGACTCTGCGAAGACAAGAGGATCTGCAGTCTCCATCATGTCCTTATCCCCACCTTGCTACCCTAGAGACTTCAGGGAGTTTCCCCTTCCGTGACGTCAAGGACAATCTCTCTTAGTTGAACTGAGTTATCTTGTTCCCAGTGGGAGAGCTCCTTCACTCTGTATTGTCTGGTATATATTCTCCTATGTACACTTTCTCTAATTTCTGTTTTTCTATGATTGGGTTAAATGGTTTCTTTGCTCCTCACTAGATGTGTTAATTTTAGAACTGGTATTTGGTGGGACAAGGGTCAAGCCTTGGATATGGAGCTTAAGGTTTCCTTTTCTCCCCAGTAATAATAAGACAAAGTGATCAGAAGTTAACTTGAACCTGATCATATCCCCTAGACTAAAAATATTTAAGGGAATAAATACAGTTCTAGCTCCTTCTGTCTAAGGAGAGCAGAGTGGCCTCTGGTCCCAATTTCTTGCTTCCTCTCTGGACAGGAATGAAAATCTCCCTTGGGGAAAGTGGGAGGAAAAGAGGCTAGAAAAGCCTATTCTGCCTCCCTTTGAGAAGACAGCCCCTCCCCACACATGGGGCCCCTTCTATTTCATAGCTAACATTTAGATATTATTTCAAGGTTTGTAAACTGCTTTACAGAAATGATCTCATTTGATCTTCACAACAACCCCATGAGTCATGAACTATTAATATTTTCATTTTAAAGATAAGGAAAATTAGGTTGAGAAAGGTTAAATGATTTGCCCACAATCACACAACTCATAGCTATCTGAGCACAAGCCCCTGATGATGTGTTTATGTTTACTAAGCAACCAGAGGATATAATTAATTCAAAATATAGGTATTTAGTGAAATCTCATAGTAAGAAACATAGTAATAAAACTTCTCCTAAATCTGGGGCACGCTCTCCCCAAAATGGGAAGAATGGACTTATGTAGGGGACACGTGTGTCCAGGACACGCACACAAAGGGGCAACTCATGCCTCCACTGCCATAGTGGGTCCACTAATGTCTTCTGGAGAGCTGTTATGCATGTAGGAGGCACTAAATAAATGCTTATTGTTGACTGACTCCTGTTGAACCTAATCCCATTGGTTCTTGAGTGGTATAGATGAAGTTTTCTGCTTGTCTCATGTGGTAGATCCCAGCATTGCCCTGCTGATCCTGTGGTTGTTCCTGGCTACTGCCAGGTATGGCTCTCATGGGCATGAGGTTGTGGTGCTTCTGTTTGCAGCCTTACCCAGAATTTTTAGCTGAGTTTCTACCTCTCCCTTATAGGAGGAGAAGTGACCATTTTTTCCATTGCTCTTTTAGCTTTAAATCCAGAGGCTTTCGCCCTATACTTCTGTAAGAAAAGCAGAATCTCACACATTTAGTCATGAGACTGGAGGGAAAAACCTTTCCTGGTTTTTATTTATTTATTTTTTCCGTAAGGAAAGATCCATCCTTTTCTCTGAGCCTTTGTTCGAATGAGCTTTCTTCTTCAGAGGATAATTTCTCACCTCAGGTTCTAAATTGTCTTGGTGCACAGAACAGAGCTTTCTCAAATAACTAGTACTTTCAGGTTCAAATGTATTTCCTACTCACCAAATGTCTCTTTATTAGAGATTTCACTCTGACTTAGGGTTAAAAAGTCCATGCAGTTCTTTTCTCATTTTCTATGTAGGGATCCCATGCCCCTGAACTTAGTCAATCAATCAATATTTATTAAGCACCTACTACATTTCAGGCAATGTGCTAAGTAAGCATTTATTTCAGAGGGGCTTTGCCACAGATAGGCAACATGATTCAATGGCATTTAGAGCCAGAGGACTTGGTATTGAACACTGGATCTGTACTTACTACCTGTGTGACCTTAGATAAGTCCTATGATCCTATGTAGGATCCTTCACCTCTCTGTATTTAAATTTCCTCATCTGTAAAATGAGAGATTTGGAATAGATGACCTCAAAGGTCCCTTCTAGCTCTAAATATAGGACCTTTTTGAATCCTGCTTAGGGAAAACATCCTAATAATTACAGCTATCCCAAAAATGGGATGGACTACTTCTGGAAATAGCAGGTTCCCCATCACTGGAAGGGTCTCCAAGCAAAGGCTGGATGAACACTTACTAGAGATATTATAGAGGAGATTCCTGTTCATGTATGTTTTGGAAAAGATGACCTTGGAAGCTCTTTTCAGTTTTAAGATTCTATGATTCTGTGTCTTCATTGGTGTCCAAGAGTGATAATTTCTGTTCTGTAAGACATACAGGGAGAGGGACATATTAATACCTAATAATTACTTTGGGGCATTTTTCCTCCACTTACTTTATACCTTATTAACAAATATCTTCCATTTGTGTAGTCATTTAAAATTCATAAAGCACTTTTGTATACATTAAGTACATGTTCTTCAAAGCCTTTGAAGGTGTTACCATTTTAAAAATAAAGAGATTGAGGCCCAGAGAGATTAAGTGATTTCAAACTTGGCCACTATGCTTCAGTTGCCTTCTCCTTCCACTCCTGTGGCCCCCTTTTCTTGTTGGTAAGTTACTTTTGGAGGAACTTAAATGTTATATAGTCCAACCTCCCACTAGAAATGCTCTAGTTATTTGCTAGGAAGGAAACCAAGGCCTAGATAGGTTAAGTAACCAAGGCCACGCAAGTAGCTGAGTCTGGATTTGAACTTGGGTCCAATGACTCCAATCCAATCTGATCCAATGCCTATTTCATTATGTTGTGCTTTTGGAATTGTATTCATCTGATGTTTAAGGATTTTTTTGGTGGGAGAAGAGTGCTAGAAATCTAGTATATAAGGGGTGGAGCCAAGATGGCAGAGTAAAAGCAGTGACTTGCTTGAGCTCTTCCCCAAACCCCTCCAAATACCTGTAAAAAATGGCTCTAAACAAATTCTAAAGCAGCAGAACCCACAAAAAGACAGAGTGAAACAAATTTCCAACCCAAGACAGACTGGATGGTTGCTCAGAAAAGTATATCATGCTGAGCGGGGAAAGGAGTGCAGTTTGGCGTAGGCGCACAAGCAAAACAGGCCTCAGTGAACCTGGAGCAGGTCTCAGAGGACTGAATCACGGGCAGCTGTGGCAGTTTCCAGACTTCTCAACCCATGATCGACCAGCAAAGACAACTTAGAAGGTCAGTGGGAAAAGTCTGTGTCTGTAATGAGAGAGAAGCTTGGTCCCAGCCCCAGTCCCCGAGCTTGGCCCCGGGGCGGTGGCTGCCTCCAGAGCTTCTGGCCCATAGACAGAGGGAGAATCGAGTGACTGATCAGAGGGGGATTGCAGAGATCTCTCTGCTGGTGCAGGATTCTTTTGCTTTGCCCGTGCTTGGATCTGGGTCGCAGTTCTGAGTGGTGGTCCTGGGGTGAGGAGGAGTGCTGGCGTGGTGGAGCTTGTAGTGGTGGTG